TAAGTTGTCTTTCCAGATGGTTGATGTAGCTAGGCACCCTTTTTTAGATCTAACACTAAAAATGGTTCCTTCGTCATGTAGGGTTGAGGTACATTAAAAAAGACCCCTGTCTTTCTGTGGTCTCAAATTTTTTGGTATTGAACTGTGCATAAAGGAAAGATAAGCAGTAAGCCACTGAGGATCACGACCACCGGCACTACCACTATAGTAACAGAAGTGAAAGCAATCGTGTTAGAGAACCACGCACACCAAACCATACACATTTCAAACATCAATACGCAGAAAATCTTCGTGTCTTCACTTCACCGTTCAAGAGCCATCCAAGAAACCGTCAAAGACAGTTGAAGGACAGGTCGGCTAGGTCAGACTTGTAGTGGTTGTACAATACCCGAGACGGCGGTGAGACTAAGAGAGCAGTCAGGAAGTTAACATCCTCCTAGATGTGGTTCAAATGGATATGAGGAAAAGGGGATCGCCCGAAGGACATGCTTTCATAGGGTTCAAATGGATATGAGGAAAAGGGGATCGCCCGAAGGACATGCTTTCATAGGGGACATAGTAACTCTCCTGACAGGAAGGTTACTTACTTCGTTACAGTCATTTACCCGAGCTGACCGACTAGTTTCCATAGTAGCCACACCACCCTCCTCTCCCTCCTGGTTTGATCAAATCAAGGCCTGAGGGTGGTACTAACCCGAATCTCCGCTCCAACTGCCAAAGGGGTCTCTGGTATTCTCTTGAAATGACCAGCGTCACGAAGATTTCTATGTATTTCTGCCACCGTCAAGAAATACACGAAAATTGTCGGAAAAATTACACATTGTGCGTGGCGGCTCGTTGCGATTGCCATGTGAATAGGTTTTCCTTGCTAGAAAAGAATGAATGCTAAATGTGAACTGAATAAATATGAGTGGTGTTCAGGGTTGAAGTAACCGAAAATCTTCGTGTTGTGTTGGTGACTTTTAGGTGATAGACGCTAGACAATCGCCTATGCGCACATCACTACTACAAAGCAACACAGGAGAAAGTCCGCAATTGCACACTACATCACCGTGACGGCAATGCCTTTTCACTTACCTGCCACGGGAATCTCTACCGTTCATGAATTTGTATGTGGTAGTGATTGCACAGATGAAGGCGACAATCCAACAGACAGTACCCATAACGTGCAGGTAGAACGCATAGCCGATTTGCTGCTGAAAATCGGGGAAAATCAATCTATCGATTTTTCAAGTGTTCTGGATACTGTATGTCGTACTCTATCCCAAAAGCGGTTCCTCTGCAGATTTGATGGGGACTGTGGAATGAGATATAAGAAGGAAAAAGAAAACGACAGTAATGACTAGTTCACTTGGGAATGAGCAAAAGGTCCGTCTTCGAAATCGGGGTGATACTACTTATTATAATTAGGATCCAAGCCCTCGCATAAAGGATTAATTCATAGACCATGCTTGTAGTAACGCGCCACTTGAAAGGACCACCTCCCTTGCCCAACGAGGAGTGTTACCCACAGAATGTATAATAATATTTTGTTGGTCTAGGAGGAGGGGACCATCTCCCATCTTCAGCTTAGGTCACATCGAATTTGTTTTCACATTCTGCTACCACGAATCTTACTACTAATCCGTCACTGCCGATGCTCTGCAAATTAGGGACGTTGTTGTTGTATGTGGTGATAACAGCTAAAGGAGAGCGATCTCTTTTATGGGAACGTGATCGGATAAAAATGGACTTTTGAATTCACGTGTTACGGGTATGAGTTAGGGAAGTCGATCGCCTTGTGTAGCGTAGTGGCCTTTGTGGGACTGCGTCTTTAGCCCCGCCCACATAATCTCACAACTACAGCCTATAGCATCGCTATCATTACTACTTTCCAGCATAACTTGTCTGAACGAAAAAAAATTAGTTACTGGAAAGAAGTCCCAAAAAAGCGGAAGACTTCGAGAAACAAATGAATTGAATCGACCTAGCAAGTTGTCCAAGATCGAAACATTGCCAGTCTTCCAACATTTTTCATTCTCATTCTCACCACTGAACAATACTCCAAAGGACTTCCAACTTCAAGTTTTCGGAAAAAAGATTCAAAATCTCTTCTTAAAATTCTTTTTGATTTCTGCTCGCTTCAAATTGATTTCGAGCTGGAACTCGCATACAGATGGCCTTAAAACTGTGTAAAAACTGCTCAGTAAGTTGGACAAAACAGTCCTTCTCCAGTTGACCTCCAGTCAACACATGTAGCAGAATAAGAGTAAAAAAAGCAAAAATAAAGTGTAGCAGAATTGTGAAACTAGAAAATTTACAACTGAAAAAAATAAAAAAAAGTTTTTTCCATAAGATCATGTTTTTAAAATCCTATGTATATGATCTATAAAATATAGAAACTTGGGAAAAAATTTTCAAAGAACCGATTATAAAACTGAACCTCATATGTGCCGACCATTCCTTGAACAAATCGATTATCGACACGATTAGCTGCCAAAAAGAACACTCCATCGGCAATCATTGAAAACAATACTAGAAACGGTAAGTATAGAAGGGAAAGAAGCCATCAATTTGTATAAGATGGGATACTTACAAGCTATAAAGAGTGAGATAGTAAAGACGAAAGCAGTTGGTGGAAAACAGGTAGCGCAGACTCCGGTGCAGATCGACAGGAACGCCAACAATTGAGAGGTGATAATGAAGAACAGTATTGCTTTGTGCCATGCTAAAAATGAGCAAATTTAGGAACCGGTCCCTTTCCTATGACTTTTCAGCCTGTAAGAGACCGAGAAAATGCTTCGTTCTCACAGTATGGTACCCTTTTCTATACAACAACCTTGTAGAGAACGAAATTAGGCCATTTTAGGGGTTAAAATCTGAAAAGAAACACTCGATCTCCTACCCCAGAATCGATGATGCTCGCTTTCACCGGCTGCTCCATCCTCGTCGATATTGTTAAGCGTATTCTCTATGACCATTTCAGCTGAGTTGTCGAACTGAAAACGACATTGAAATTGGCAAAAAACAGACCCCTCAAAGGCCCAGTTCACGATAAAAATGTTTTCTGAGAAATTTCTTCTGATGAATCTGGATGTCCCAGTAACCGTTGAGGGGTATCTGGGATGTGAGTTTCGGCTCACATAGAAACCATACCCTCTTCGGTTACTGGTAAGTATGTCTACCATCTGGTCGTTCATGGAAAATCATTGAGTAGTCAGGTGCTGTCACACAGAAAACATGACGTCTTCAACTCAACTTCTGATATAAAGCCATGCCCAAAAAACCCAGGAAGCATAGAGGTGAGGGGCAAGGTGAATATTAACGAGTAAGTGCAAAGAAGATAATTAGGTTGAAAGTTAATTACCTTATACATGCAATGAAGTGGAGTCTCATCATAGAAGTCACCGACAGCTACCACGTGCTTCTCTGCTCGGATGCAATCCCACCATAAACCGTGCTGAAAGAGAACTGGATAAAAAAGGCTATTACAATTCAATTAAGTCATTCCGGATTGGAGTATGAGAAGGAGCCCCGGGTTATCCAGCTAAAATATTTTCAATTCTACCATTTTGTTCCAACTGCTTTCTGAAAAGCTCTGGCCTAATAATCTCCCTGGGAAAATTGGCTTGCTTTACGATTTCCAAGTCTGTTCTTGGAACTTCATGGTCTTGATGGATTAGAGAGAGAGATAGGAAAAAGTTTAACTCCAATGAGACTCGAACCACTTTAATCTCGGCATTCCAGGGTGACCGTTGTGGTTACTTCAGGCTTTACCACGACTTCAATA